ATGTATGTATGTATGTATGTATGTATGTATGTATGTATGTATGTATGTATGTATGCATGTATGTATGTATGTACATACAGTGGTGCTTGAATGTTTGTGAACCCTTTAGAATTTTTTTTTTTTAAGTCAAATCCTCTGGACAGATTCTTTCTGTTGAAATGTTTTGTCTTTTATCCCAAATGAAAAAAAAAAAAAGACTTGTTCAGTCTGAGGAGCTGCACTAAACTAAGTCTTATAAATAGCACCTTCTCATAGTGGACCAGTGTCGATTTGTCCTGAAGGTAAACACACCTTACCTGCAGGAGCAACACCCTCCTTTCCTTCAACAACATTGTCGGGGTTTTGCATTACAAACACTTCACAGTCATCGGATAATAGTTAAATTAAAGGTTAATGCTTAAAGCTACTTGTGCTTTGTTTTGTGTATTTTATTCATAAATATGTGTTGCAACTTCTGGTTGCATAAGTGTAGTATTTGTTGGCTATGATCCTTTAAAAGTCCTATTTGTGACGGAGCTCCTCGTTTATGGCCGTCCCACCCTGAATACACCTGAACTCGTCTGATCTCGGAAGCCAATCAAGGTCGGGCCTAGTTAGTACTTGGATGGGAGACTGCCTTGGAATACCAGGTGCCAAGAGCCATTGTCAGTAATGGGGGCTAAGCCCCCTAAAGGTCAGATCCTAGAATCGCCCCTGGTTCTGACAGACAACCTCTGGTTCAAAGGTCATGATCAGGAAAGCCCTTCTTCATGCTACGCACGTCAGTGAGACACAACTTTTGCACTTCTCATGGACCAGTCTGGTGTTTTTGATCTTGTGCTTCTATAAAATACAACATTGCTTTATGACTTACCAAAATATGATTTCCACATGAGGCCCATATTCCTCAATACAGCCGTTAGAAACATGGTCTTATACGCATTTATGAAACAATCAGTACTGTCTATTTATTTATTTATATTTGTTGTCAGTCAAATGGCTTGGATAAAATATTTTAATACTATATTATACATGCTGGTGCCTGTTTTTACGCATGTGCATTAGTAACTGTAAAAAGGTAAATGTGATCAAACTCTATGGAGCGTTTATATTTTCAGTCATTCAAGCTGAAATTTAACAGTAACCCACATAATTTACTATAATTTACTATAATTTACTATGTGTAAAGTTTCACTGTAATACTGAAAATCACTGATGTGAATATAAATGGGACATTTACCTTTCGTTTTTTAGAGCAACTACAATTTCAGTGTGGATTTTTAAATTTAAAAATTACAGTTGAATACATCACAAATCTTCACATGGCCAAAAGAAAGAAAACCGTGGAAATGCAACATTTATTTTACCTCATCGTGTCTCATGAGCACCAAGATCTGGTATTCTGACCTGACTGGGGAGAAGATCTGAATGTGGAGCTGATGGTGATCTTCTCTGGTGACCCTTAAACTTTTGGCTTCACTGTAACCTGCAGAGATGTTGCTCAGCTGATTACAGCACCTCACACTGAGGAAGTCTTCTGGATGAAAGACGAAAAGTTTTTTTGTTTTGTTTTTTGAATGTCCAGATTTAACTTTTTTAGATTTTTCTACCTGGATTATTGAGCATCAGGATATTTCTGTTCAGAGCCCTGAGACGACTTCTGTTGTAACTTGGAGCTACAGAAATAAACTGAATTGAATTGAATGAGTGTAACTGTAATCATGAAATATATAATGATAATAATATTTAATTTCAATAAATTATTTTTGAATTGAAATGTTTAGAAATATAAAAATGAAAGTCATGCATGAGTCATGTGTTGATGTGAGGGGACGGGAGGAACATGAGGATCGAGTTAAGGGAGTTACTTAATCATGTTGAGTAACGACTGATTCTTCTTTGTTGAAACGTTTCAACTTTTACCCAAAACTTCTTGAGTCAGAGGAGCAGCAACAATCAGAACCTTCTTCTATCAACCAGTTTGCTGCTGACAGCCAGAACCATGGAGGACCATCAGCTTCATGACTGTTAGTGCCCTGACAGCCACTTGCTACTCACAGAGGGCTGAGTGATGCTAGGAATATTTGTGAATCGAGCCTGTTGCAAATGTAAAGTTCAAATATTCTAAAAAAGGGGGAGACTGGTTCATTTTAATTTGTGTGAAGTGATATTTCTTGAAAATGATGTATCTAATGACACAAAGTCTTTTATTGTCCTCAGAGGTCTGCCCTAAAAATAATGATTTCATTCAGAAACACATGATGTCTTTAACAAAGCTGCACAGCAGGAGGTGCTTCCACCAGAGAGGAGCACAGCAGGAGGTGCTTCCACTAGAGAGGAGCACAGACAGGAGGTGCTTCCACCAGAGAGGAGCACAGACAGGAGGTGCTTCCACCAGAGAGGAGCACAGACAGGAGGTGCTTCCACCAGAGATGAGCACAGACAGGAGGTGCTTCCACCAGAGAGGAGCACAGACAGGAGGTGCTTCCACCAGAGAGGAGCACAGCAGATGGTGCTTCCACCAGAGAGGAGCACAGACAGGAGGTGCTTCCATCAGAGAGGAGCACAGACAGGAGGTGCTTCCATCAGAGAGGAGCACAGCAGGAGGTGCAGAGGGACCAGCTGGATCTCCTCAGGAGGCACAGCATCTGTAGCGCAGGTGTCCTCCGTGTCTGATCTCCTCTTCCTCTGCTCCAGGACTCTGGTGGAGTCTTCATGACCAGGAGCTCCGCGGCTCCTGCGCGCTCACTCAGCGCGCGCGGCTCCGGAGGATCGATTCCTCTGAAGACTCATATTGTGCTGGAAGGCGTGGCTTGCTGTCACCCACACAAGGTTACATTTTCCTCCTGATCCGCGCGGCTGGGCTTCATCTCTACATCAACAGCGCGTGCACAGATCAAGCTCAAACAGCAGATCCGCTCGGGACATGAAGGTAAAGCCGCATCTTCTTCGTGCATCATCATCATCATCGACTGCAAGGTCAGATTAAATCAGCAGGGATCAATGGCTGAGCACAGCGCGTGACTCGAATGTTAATTGACTGACATCACTTGAAGCTTCTGCGCAGGTTCACGTGCATGAATTCTGTTTTCTTCCGACATCGATTGAAAAAAGTGCAGCGTGCACAACCCGAGACTGTCGCACTTCCAGTTAGAGACGGTGTGCTCTGCGTAAAAATGAGCACTGGCAGGTGGAGGCATGGCACACATGAAGGTGGGCCACATGAAGGTGGGCCAGAACCGGTCCTGACTCCGAACCGCAGCCTCGCTTCCATTCATACCTGGAAAATGATGCTTCAGTCACACAGGCGGAATAAAAAGCCATAATCGTCTGAATCTTTATATATTCATAAATAACAATATAAATAATATCCAGTCACATTATGTGTGAGGAGATCCAAAAGTTGAGCTAGCAGTCAGTAAAGCTGAAAGGCTGTTATAGGGCGGGAGTGGGACTCATTTTCAGCCCTGGAGACTCAAACTGCCAACTTTAGATCACGACCTATTATTAATGAAATCATGTAATTATAAACTCACATCAGGGTGATCCTACAATCTGACCTCTAGGTTTTTGTTGGCCCCCAGTGCTTACAGTGGCTCTTGGCTTGAACAACGCAGTGGCCATTAGCGTCAAGCATTTGTAAAATGGGGAGGGACACACTAGTCGGGGGTCCTCCCCCCCAAAAAATTGAATAAATTAGATGCCATTTCCTGCATTCTGGTGTATTTTAACGGGTTGTTTAACATATAGTTTTATCTCCACAAGTAAACCCTTGATTCAATAACTATTTTAGAGTTAATGGCACAACAAGACCTGCCTGACCAACAGCTCCCCTTGTGTGAATGGAGCACACTCCACTTCTCAAGCATCCTAGCCACAGTCTAAGAAACACAGTGTAGCATAAGTTAACTTTTAGGAAAAAATCACTAGGCAATATGAAACAATAATAATAATAATCACTCCTTCTTACCAGTGGTCTAGCATAAAGCAATATGATCATCATCCATCATGTTTATTAGTAGATTAAAATACTTAATTAAAACTCCAGAAATGGGCTAGGTCTACTGTAATGGTACCCAGTTGTAGGGTCAAGAGACAAACATGTAGCATTAACACAGCATGAACAACATTCAGAAATTGTTTCTATTAGAACATTATTAAATATTTTACGTGAGATCACTCGTCCCACGAGGAAATGCAACCCAGGCTGAGCTAACCTCGGACAAACAAAGATAGCTGTAATGGTGGAGGTAGTGAAGCTCGTGGTGTTACCTGAGGCATTCGTGCCTTATTGACCACCATTAAGGCAAAGAAGAAAGGACAACATTTAAGCTGCTAATAACTTAAAATAGTCAGTGGATGTTTTCATGCCACAGAGCGACACAGGGCAAGAACTCAGTGAAGTTCAGTATGTAAGAGTGTAAATTTTACACACACAACCTATTAAACACTTTGTACAAAATCAGTTTAGTTTTAACAAAGACTAAACTTAACCAGAAGTTACAACATATATTTAAACACAAAACAAAACACAACTAGCTTTAAGCATTAAAATTCAATTCAGTTCAGTTTATTTCTAAAGCTCCAAGTCACAACAGAAGTCGTCTCAGGGCCTGAACAGAAACATTCATGTATAAAATAATAATTGAACATTATTTATCTGAGGAGCAGCTTTGAGTTTAACTCCATCACTGAACTCTCATCTTGAACAAGCATGAAGGCGACAGAGGAAAGAAAAACTCCCTCATGAGGAAGAAACCTTTAGCAGAACCAGGATCAGGACAAGAGGACCACCTGCTTTGACCGGCTGGGTTTGGTAGGAATAGATACACAATGGCAGATCAAGAATCACATGTTAAGATAGAAATAGTATCAAATGAAAACTATTCAATTTTAACAATTCATTTAAGGAAATGAGGTCAGTTTGTCCTCTAGTAGTCTAAGTCTATAGCAGCATGACAAGCCAACCCTAACTATAGGATTTACCAGAAAGGAAATTCTTAAGCCCAGTCTTAAACTGGACAATGTGTCAGCCTCATGGACAGAAACTGGAAGTTGGTTCCACAAGAGAGGAGCCTGAAAGATCTGTCTCCTATTCTGCTTTTGGAAACTCTAGGAACCACAAGTAAACCTGCAGTCTGAGAGTGAAGTGCTCTGTTAGGAAAATATGGAACAATAAGAGATGTCATATAAGATGGAGCTAGGTTGTTGAGCGCTTTGTAGGTTAGAAGTAGGATTTTGAATTCTATTCTGGATTTGACAGGGAGCCAATGGAGAGAAGCTAAAACTGGAGAGATATGATCTCTCCCAGTAACTCCAGTTAAGACTCTGGCAGCAGCATTTTGGATCAGCTGAAGACGCTTTAAGGAAATATTTGGACACCCAGATAATAAACCATTGCAATAGTCCAGTCTAGACGTGACGTGACGTGGGAGTATGGGGTACCGGGCCCTCTGATATGGGCTGTTAGGTCCCTGTATGACCGGTGTCAGAGCCTGGTCTGCATTGCCGGCAGTAAGTCGGGCTTGTTCCCGGTGAGAGTTGGACTCCGCCAAGGTTGCCCTTTGTCACCGATTCTGTTCATAACTTTTATGGACAGAATTTCTAGGCGCAGCCAAGGTGTTGAGGGGATCCGTTTTGGTGGCCTTAGGATTGCGTCTCTGCTTTTTGCAGATGATGTGGTCTTATTGGCTTCATCAGATCGTGATCTACAGCTTTCGCTGGAGTAGTTTGCAGCCGAGTGCGACATGGCCGGGATGAGGATCAGTTCCTCCAAATCCAAGGCCATGGTCTTGAGCCGGAAAAGGGTAGAGTGCCCTCTCTGGGTCAGGGAGGAGGTCCTGCCCCAAGTGGAGGAGTTCAAGTATCTTGGGGTCTTGTTCACGAATGAGGGAAAAATGGAGCGTGAGATCGATAGGCGGATAGGTGCAGCGTCTGCAGTGAAGCGGGCGCTGTACAGGTCTGTCGTGGTGAAGAGAGCTGAGTCAAAAGGCGAAGCTCTCAGTTTACCGATCAATCTACGTTCCTACCCTCATCTATGGTCACGAGCTTTGGGTTGTGACCGAAAGAATGAGATCTCTGATACAAGTGGCCAAAATAAGTTTTCTCCACAGGGTGTCTGGGCTCTCCCTTAGAGACAGGGTGAGAAGCTCGATCATCCGGGAGGGACTCAGAGTAGAGCCGCTGTTTCTCCACGTCGAGAGGAGCCAGTTGAGGTGGCTTGGGCATCTGTTTAGGATGCCTCCTGGACGCCTCCCTGGTGAGGTGTTCCGGACACGTCCCACCGGGAGGATATCCTCAGGGAGCGTGGTGGGACATATGGTTGTAGCAAATCAGAGAGATGGGGG